CATCTGTGAACCTTCACTGTCTGTTAACCCTGCTCTCTGGTTCAGCCTATCTGGTGACACTTCTGTTCATTCATATAAAAAAATCCACTCTAGTGCAATATTCTTACAGGTCTACTCTATAGTAGATGTTGCATCCTCCTTGACTGGCCAAGTGACCAAGAGAGTGACAATGATGAACCAGAAATTATTTATAAAGACTCCTTGCAGGCAGAAAACACAAAACCTATCTGATAAGTGAAACCAAGACACAGAATATGAAGGCTGGTCCAGGTGAGTCTAGTTGTGTACCTCTATATGGTAACTAGTCTCCAAAGGAGTGTAGCAAGAAGTAGCTACAAGGATATAAGACTCTGAGTTGTGTACAGTGACTCACAGTATGTATGCAAACTTTTCTATAACAGAAATGTCACATATGGATCTGGATACTGAGTGGTGCAACCTATATATAATGCAAACTTTTAATGTTGGAATCCTATATGTGATCCTGGTGGAGTCTAGGGAAACTATTAGTGTTATCAAGTTACTCTTCAAAGTCTTTTGTTAGGTCTAGAAAGTATGAGGATGATATGCAAGGGCAGCAGATCTGTTTCATGTTTTTGGAAATAAAGCAAGACAAGTCAATATTTTGTGAATTAATAAGTTTGCTAGTGTTGTATGCAAGCCTCCAGGTAGGGTGTAAGATCATTGAGATGCTCTGGTGCTTTTGGTTGAAGGATATTGACCTATAGACAGTCTGCATAACTGATTCTATTGGAGGGGTATTGTACTGATGTATAGTTTAGTATGGATCTTGATTAGTCTCTCTATTGCTCCTCTCTTTTTCTCTATTCTCCTGTACACTACTTATGCTATCCCTTTACTAATACTAAGTATGCTACATTTAAACAGCCTTTGTAACTGCAGTATTTGTTTAGTGAGCATAGCAAACTTTGTATTGCATAAAGTCTTCAAGGCTGTGAAGCTTTTAGTAAACATAGTGTATTTAAAAGTTCACATAGCTAATAGTATGCTAGTTCTTCTAATATTCCTTACTAATCAAACACATGGTTAGTCTCCTGCAGCCTATTACCTTTTCTCATGCTAACTGTAAAAAGCTTAGACATCTGCAGTCAGCCTTGTATATATGTCATGATGGACCTTGTGGGCAGCCTTAGAGTGCCACATGTATACTAATAATGATATATGTCTGATCAGGTATTATAGTGTCAGGCCATGCCTATGGCATTTATTATTGAATAGAAAGTTCACACATGATGAAAGTTAATGGAAAAAGTTTGCAAGGCCAAGTAAAGTTTGCATACAAATGGAAAGTTCATATATAACATATAGTCTTCATGTACAAGGGGATGCCTGTGAATAATGAATAGTTCTTGACAAAATTACTGCTATTGAACCTGAAATGAGTGGTTTACTGAAAGCCTATTTAAGGGCAAAGGCTGAAAATAATTATTGAGGTCTATGATGTGGTGAGAAACAGCTAAGTGACTAAGAGAGGCAAGTGAGAAATGAACTCCTGAACACCAACACCTAACCACTCAATGCATGATCACTAATACAGATGAGTTCAGATGGTTTGAATATAATAGAAGCACTTTGCAGACTCAGATAAATCAAATATAAAGATATAAAGGTGGTTTATTCAAGGCTAGTTTTTGTTTTCTAAGATGCAATACTCATAAGGATGGTAGAAATAAGATATGGTAGGTGAATTGAGACTTAAAATGCAGAGCTACAATGCTCAGCTTAACTTAGAATACTCTAAAACCCAATACCAAGTCTCTCAAGCACTTAGGCTTGGCTAACTGCACCTGTGGCTAGCTAGCAGTCCTTGAAACCAAAGAATTGATACTCAGATGTCAAAACTCTTATTAAGCCAAAACCCAAATTATACCAAACCCCAAAGTCCAATAAAGACTTCAATTCTTATTCAATACAAGATGACTTAATAACAATAGCTATCCAAGTTAAGATTACACACAAAACTGCTGATATAGGTACAAACTACTGAGAGCTAGAATGCTTAAATCACAGGGATGGGTTATCTGTTGCACAATCCTCTCTCATCCTGCTTTTATACATAACTAACTCATATAGAATCTATAAATAATTTAGTCTGGTTACTTATTTGCTTGGCTAGCCCCAAAATTAAGTCATTATCCCACCTTGGCATGCCTCATATATCCTTTTCAGATGACCTGGAAAGCCCTTGGCTCTCTGTTTCTATAGTCCATGAATATTTACTATATAATTGATCAACAGATGTGGTGGCTTCAGTGCTGATTATAGTGATCCAAGGCAGCTGAGCTTTCCAGTTGTGGCTCATTCCCTAAACTTATTGTGAGATGACACAAGTATTTGATCAATGGTGCACTGATGGAACATGCTTTAGAACAGAGAACTGAGACCCAAAGAAAGGTATCTGAATAACTGGGTGTTGAACAGAGAAATAAAATGATGGCAACAAAGGGATAGATAGAGGAATACTACCCTCAGAGATGAATAGCACATGTACTGCTCAGACACTTGTATGCATACTTACAGTGCCTTAGCATGCTTAACACAGTGAGGGACTCTGCATCATACTGCAGTATAACACATACTATATTGAGTAAGTTAATTAATGCATGTCAGGCCAGAAGTAGTGCATTTTATGAGCCAGAGAGAATGATGAGACACTGGAAAAGAGAATATAACTATTGTGGCTGACTCCAGACATGGGAGATAACTCTAGAGGTCCAGAACAGTTTACTGCTGTCAGGGATGTGTCACTGAGGAAATAAGAAAGTGAGCAGACCTGGCTAGGCCAGCTAGCTGAGGTCAGCTAGCAAGGAAACATTGCGCTGACATGCCCTCTCCATGTTCAGGCATGTAAAATTGCAAAAATTGCGAATACATGGACTGCATTCCAGTCCAGTAAGCATGTAACAGAAAATAGGACTAGAGCACACAGAAACCTAGCTATCATAATGATAAACTGAAGTAACAATAAGCAGAGTGCATGACCTAGTAACAGACTAATACCAGAGGGGTTAGGCTGCATGTGAGGTCCCAGCACTTGGCCCTAAATGCACCAATACTATTACAAGAGGACATGCTAAAAATAAAAAGACTATGATTGAAATATGATTGGCAATCCTGATCACATTGATCAATGATGCACTGATGGGACATGCTTTAGAACAGGAAACTGAGATCCAAAGAAAGGTATCTGAATAACAGGGTGCTGAACAGAGAAGTGACATGATGGCAACAAAGGAATAGATAGAGGAATACTACCCTCAGAGATGAATAGCATGTGTACTGCTCAGAGACTTGCCTGCATACTTACTGTGCCTTAGTGTGCTTAACATAGTGAGGGACTCTGCATCATACCACAGTATGACACCTACCATATTGGGTCAGTTAATTAATGCATGTCAGGCCAGAAGTAGTGCAATTTATGAGCCAGAGGGAATGTTGAGACACAGGAGAAGAAAACATAACTATTGTGGCTGACTCCAGACATGGGAGATAACTCCAGGGGTCCAGAACAGTTTACTGCTGTCAGAGATATGTCACCAAGACAAGAAGAAAGTGAGCAGACCTGGTGAGGCCAGCTAGCTGATGTCAGCTAGCAAAGAAACAGTGGGCACAGTCATCACCTGAAAGAGAATAAGCATGGTAACTGCAATATGTGTGTGAATAATACCTGTGGGATCCAGCATGGAGTCCTGCACTTTGAGGATACCATAGTAGGATTGTATTAGTAAGTATCCTAGTAGAGTATTTAAATATGGTATTGTATGACTGGAAGGGAGAGTTTTCTGACCCCCCACAGTTGTGGTGTATTGGGCACAGAAAGCCTTGCACTCTAGCTCTGGGTTTGTGTTAGTAACTCTGGGCAAGAGAATAAACTTATTATTGAATATCATTGAGAGAGCTGTGAGAACTAAGCGAGGCATCGAAGCTCACAAAGGACTTAGGCCCAGTTTGATAAGAGGTTTTGGATTGTGCTATAATCTGAGAATAAGGGAGCAGTGTCTGAAGGGTGTCATCTTGAGTTTTTGAGGTATTTGTGATGCACAGTGCTACAGGTGGCAGAGGTTCAAACTCTTTGGTCTGTTGGACAGGGTTTCATTGTGTTTGTGTCTCTGGATCACATAGGTTTGAATCCTGTGGGTCTATGATCAGTTTGGAAGCTTGTGAACAGAGATCTGTGCTCTTTGGCACTTGTGGACATGTTTGTGATTGGTTTCTGCTTAGAGCACGAGGCTTTGAGTTGTGTATTGTGTGTGTTAGAGATTTGAGTTGATCTGAGCTGTGCTTGGGACCATTTGAGAGTTTTGAAGGAGTGTTTCAATGTATTGTATTGAACTGTGGTACCCTTTGCCTTGAGGCCCAGCAACACCAGTTGCCACCTCTTGTTTTGATAAAACAAAAAGCTTTGAGACTTAGAGAGATCTACAACTGTTATACATGTGCTATTACTGTTCACACACTGTGGATGCATTGAAGAAGACAATTATATTTGTTGATTACTACTTTTATCACATTATAATCCCCCCATGAACTAAGAGTTTTGTGTGTGTGTTGGTGTGAGTGTGGTCAGTGGATAGTGCTCTGCTGTATCTGTTTTCACCTTGTGCGCACTCAGATCCTCTTCACCGTGTTGGTGTCCGGCATTATCACTAGCGATACCATTTTCCATGGTGGTTGCGGCTCCAGCGGATTTCTCTGACAGCTGTACAGCCAAAGCAATGAGTGCCTGAACTGAGAAAGAAATGTACACATGTCAGTGCAAGGCATTGCAACAGAACTCGCTGTACTCAGTCCCGATATCGCTCTCTTCATCTTATGACCATCCAAGCGCGGTTTGAAATGCTCGTCGTGGCGTATTCAACCTCTAATCGCTGGAGTACATTTGAGGTTTGGAGGAAAGGCGATCGATGTCGATGAGACCTCGTTTTTCTCACACACGGCATCAAAGAGGATGGTATGCGAGTTGTGGGTCCGTCACCGCCATGAGCATCACATATTCAGAGAGGCGAGAGGTGAACACACGCCTACATTGGTGCATGCGTCCTTCAGCTTCATCTCCGGTCCTTCGCAACCAACTTTGTCACCCTGGAGCCAGGGCAAGACCAACGAGAGGAAAAGCTCTCGCCCTCTTCATGACCTCTGCGTTCCCTCAACACGCCTCGATCTCCCAATTGATATTTGATACACATACACACCTTCTCTCTGCGTTTGCTTTGTTTCACTCAGAGTGTCCTGATGGGCAACAAGACAAATTTCGCCTTGGCAAAGGGGTAGTCGATGTGTAGCGCTATCCGGAAGTGTTCATGCGAGGAACATGGGAGAAACTGGTAGATGGGAAACGAAGTGTCGATTCGTCATCGGTGAGTACCCTTGCTCTTTCCAACTATGTTTCTCATCAGCATCCTCCAGGTGCTCAGCTGTTTGTTCTTTGACTTTGAAACCGCCTCTCGTCGAGGTAATTTCCATCCAGACATGAAGCAAAGTGGTTCACCCCTGCTGTGGAGTCCGAGATTCCCACTGCGTTGTCGCATCCATCCCTGGTGAGATCGGGCTGGACTGCCAATACACGCTTTCGCCGCCAGATGTCCAGCAACGGGTGTTCGCCCGTCAGCTACGGATACCTGTGGATCGCGGTATCCCTATTACAGTCCACACACGAAAAGCAGAAGAAGATAGAGAATCATGAAGGAAATAGTGCCCAAGGACCGCCGAGTACGTCTTTTTCTCTATCGGGGTGCTGACAGTGCTGACTATATATGTAACGACAGGTCCACATTCACTGCTTCACCGACATTGCTGCCTTTGGCCTCCGCCTCCTCGATCACTTCCCGAACCTCCACATCGGCGTGACGGACGTCGTCTGCTATGCATCGAACCTCAACGCTCCTCAAGCAGGTGGCAGCCACCGACAACAAGCGAATCCTGCCGGAGACCGACGTGCGGTATATGGTCTCAGCGAACGTGTAGGCGTGCTGGAGCCGAAGCAGTCAAGGTTGTCATTCTCCCATTCGCCGATGATACCCTGGACTGAAGTGTTTGCAGCGGATGCTATGAGCGAGGGGTGGGATACGGAGCGGGTGTTGGATCTGGCGAAGGAGTACTCGGAGGGTATATGGGGTGGAAGGTAAGGGATTATCATCAAGCATACATCTATGCCAGGAACTAATCTAAACGAGACTAGATCTGATGTGGAGGACGGGAAGAAAAATATCATTGGACGCGATATAATATATTTAGTCTTGAAGCTCATCCAAGGCACGGCGCACCAGTACTCCGCATTGTCACCTTCCGGGTAGAACCTCCTCTGCGGTTGGCTATAGGCTAGAGTGATTGCATGAAACAGGAGAAAGGATGTGGACAGGAAAGATTGGATGTTAGAAAAAGTGGTACTCGGGCCCGAGCCTGTAGAATCTGACGACGAGGAGCTCTCAGAGAGACGATCGCCATTGTGTGATGGGGGAATAACTGTCACATACAGAGAAAAATGTTTAGTTTCGCCACCCCAAAACCAAAAAAATGAGGATATTATAATATTACTATTTCGCACATATACATGGGAATTGACGTACTTGTGTACTTGCGCCTTAAACTTGCATCATTGTCGTATGCCTAGAGCAAGTACTGACGCTAATATCATCAACGATACGAAGGTAAAAGGTCGGTGTTAGACGATCGAGGAAAGATGGCGTGGGAACCCACGACGTCGTTTCCAAATCTGATTCCGCGGCAGTACTTTGCTTACCACCAGGATATCATACAGAGATTCTTTACTGATGAACCACACTGAAGCATTACCCTCCCCTTGAGTCTGACCCAGAAATATTCAACGAGCTCCTCCGCCGCCTCGGCGTCAACAACAGCATCAAATTCATCGACATCTTCTCCCTGGACATAGACCCTGACGTTCCCCGGCCACCATTAGCGCTCATTTTTATATGCCCATGCGGCCTGCCACCATGACCAGGCGAAGAAGTATTGGAACGCATAGCAAAAGGTCCCTTTGATTCAAGGATGTTTTGGGTGCCGCAGTCAATTCGCCATGTCTGTGGGCTGTACGCGCTATTGCACTCTGTCTGTAACGGTGACGCGAGGAAGCACGTATGTCGTATGCTGCATTCCCTCCACATCACTCATCTGTGCATGTAGATCCTGCCAAACACACCTCTCTCGCGCCTACTCGAAAAGACATCCACCTTGACTTCAAGTCCTGAGCTGGCTCGCGTCTTGGAGGATGACAGTGACATTGAAGAGGCGCACTGCTCGATTGGGAGACGAGGGAACACGCCGATACCAGATGTTTCTGTGAATGCCGGAGGTCAGTACCTCGCTTTCGTCCTTAGGAGCAAAGAACGGGAAAACGCATCGTCTACGACAAAGTGCTCACACCAGACCAGGACTCGCTCAGCGAGCCAGTCCTCGACCTTATCCGTGGGTACATCAAGGACCTGAGCGCCGATGGGAACCTCGAGTTCAGTTTGATGGCTTTGGTAGAGGACAATTCTATGCTAGAGTGTATTGGTACTGATGTACATTAAAGTACTATTATGTTTCGAATCAAGTGCGAACCCACTGACAAAATCGATATCATAAACGCTTGGGTCCTGCACATGCTGAAGGAAAAGTTGCCACCGTTGCCGCAGCAATTCTGCAACAGTAAATATATGAGAACGAAGGACATACAATTCTATGCAGTCATGCGTATTCAGTATGGTCATGAATAAAACGTGTGTGCATCATACGATAGTTGTACGAGCTTACCTGTAGTGCGTTCGCATGGCTTTGATGTGCGGCATGATTTTCCATCCTACAGTCTTCTTCTGTCACCTCTACTTTCTCTTCGAGTGCGCTTAACTGCATCTGCAGCTTCACCCTCGACATGATAAGAGGATACAAGTGTGCCGACGACACAGTACATATTCCCCTGAGCCGCAAAAATCGGAGAAACATCGCAATTGCACTACGGACCCTCTTCCTTCCTCAGCCTCTTCTTCAAATCAACCTCGGGCATACGACCCTCATCTCTCGTAACAACAGGACTCGTATTCGGCATCGCCAGCGTCTCCCCACCCATCTCATCCACAAAAGACCACGTTATATTGATCCTCCCCAAAGTCTGATTAGCGAGCTACTGAACACGCTCGGGGAAAAGTCGAGGCTCCACCGGATCTGACATCCCGCACAGCGGTCTACGATGGTGATCTCTTGCGTGGTGGTTTCTTGTTGCGTGTTTGGGTCCGTGTCTGCCAATGGTCAGCAGTTGCCGGGGAAATGATGTGAATTAAGTAGGAGAAATGGGCTACTGACAGTGAGCTACGAGCTTCTTCCCGCAGATAGGGTTTCTGCTTACAAGTCAGAAACCCATGAGCTCTGTGCGATACGCAAGGAACACATACGTATTCGGGTTCTTAGTCGTCGAACCACTGCCATTGGCATCGCACTGAGTCGATCAAGTAAATCTCTGGTGTAAAACAGGTACATACGGCCAGTAGTCGAAGAGCAAGTACGATACTGCCGCTATGGGGTCCCCCTCTGTGTTGTTCTGTCCGCAGGCGCCCGAACCTGGAGTATACCATGTGCCTAAAAAGACATCTGGTTCATTCCGGGCAGCAAACGAGGGTGAGACTTATTCATTTACCATCTCCGATATGCATACCATCCAGCGACTCGACGGGAACAGGGGTGGTCGGGTCTGTACCGACGGCAGTACTCGTCAAAGTCCTGGTACCGTACATTTCACTCGTAGTGGTATACGTGCTGGTCGGTTCTCCAGCAAAACTTGTCAAAGCCCCAGCATCGTACGTTCCACTCGTGGTGGTGGTGGCGGTGGTATACGGCTGGCTGCTGCCGGGATCAGTATCAGTGGTAGTCGTGGCATAGGCGGTAGTTTGAGTCGGACTCTGTATAGTTTGGGACCCCGGGTCTGCTTCCATGGGAAAGGCGCTGACTGCCACAGCGAAGAAGAGAAAAAGAGCAGCGGAAAACATCATCAAGACATTAGGAGAAAAGGTCTGAAGGAGGTAAGAGCAGTTGAATGGTACCGCCTGCAGACCTGGGGATGAGGCTAGCTAGGGTCTGTCCAAGTCTGACGGAGAAACCTGTGCCCACTGGATGGAAGCAATCCACAGTGTCCTCCGTCCAGGTTGATGGGAAAATTTCATTGAAACAAGCATGGGCCAAGGGATAGAGGTGGGGGATAAGAAGTGAGTCAGACCATGCTGTGGGGAGACCGATTTCTCTGTGTACTTGCTATATATCATGTAACGAGCCCCTGGCATGTCGACCCAGAGTAAATATTGCAATTGATGACGCGTGACGTCATGGGGAGGAAAGGATCATCGTCGATACGCGGGTGGATGCAATATTTACGAGCAGGGGGGACATGCTATCAACCTGTTGCGTGAGACACCATATCCTCCGGGAAAACAACTGTTGGTCGCCATCCTTGTGAAGAACCAGTGCCTGTATCAAAACTCGACCTGCCAGACCCGGCAGCTAAATACCGGATATCATTCCCCAATGCAGGGTGGCCTTCGATGAGATATGGGAGGAGGAACAAGGCATTTGTCGACCCAGAACGGACCACCATGGCAAGACCATAGAGGTCCTACAACGGACGATCAGACACCGAAAGCGTACTTGATGTAAAATGGCACGATTCCATGAATGTGCCTTCATATTTGGCCATGGCTCCCATTTATTGCACAATGCCCTGCAAGCTGCACTAGAGCAAAGACGCAGTGGAACAGGTAATTGTTTGTCCTATTCGTTGAACTACCCCGGTCCTTCAGAGAATACACCGCCGAATGCGGCTGTTTCTTCCTACATTCCAGCGTCTCGACAAGACATTCCACAGTGTCCTCGGTTCATCATGAACCAGCCTAGGCAACGCAAGCAATATCAGCGCGCAACACGGCAACGGATGCAGATAAGACGCACATGCAGGATTTCTGAAAACGACGGAGCGACTGCTGCCTTCGAGATTATACTTGCCCTTCGAAAGACGCTACAGCCGTGTCCGTGTCCCCTACCAAATTCATCCCGATATCTGGAAGGCCAGCGTGCAACAGCGAGAATAGTTTGCGTTCCCAACACAGACGTAATCAGTGCAAGAGAGACGGGCCAAATATTTCCCACGCTATTTTGCTTTCAACCACCATTATCTCTGCAGCTCTCTAGGCTCGGATTTTCTTCTACCTCGACGCTTGACGCGACTTTGAGTCACGAACAAAGACGGCTACGACTGCAGATCATCTATATGCTATAACGGTAACGGCAGTGTCATCGTTCTATGCGATGGCCACGTTACAAAATGACGGGAAATCCACAAAGGTAGCTCTTGCTGTCTTGATTGATATCAGACTCTGATATCTTTATAGCGCTATGCGAAGGTCTAGTACAAAGATTCTAGCTGCAAAGGTCGGTCGTCCCGACACTTCGAAAATATGATACATATCCCTCAAGAAAAGACAGTTTCATCATCATCAAATGGACCTAGGACCATTCATTTATAACAAGCCGCGCAAGTTCATACGAAATATCATGCATGGTCTGGATCCAGACCCATTGCAGACGATATATCCTCCAGCCGCTATCCAGGAAGACGGCCGAAAAGTCGAGATAACCGGTCCTCGCTATCTCGGCTCTTACAGCTGGCTGACCGGCCGAACACCCAGAATCCTCGTCCCCGGCGCGCCCCGCATCTGGGTCGACAGACCAACACCCTTCACTCTGTCCCCCGACTCCGGCTTCCAATCCTGCGACCACAACGCTTACCAGCTCCCCCCCTACCCCCTCCTACCCATCTTCCTCGCCGTCACCACCACCTTCGACTGGTCCTCCGTGGACGTCGTCGCAGACTGCCACAGCTTCCTCCGTCTCATCGCCTTCGCCACCGGCCAACGACACGACTTCCGCATGGACCTGCAGCTCGCCGGGTCCAAGACCGTCTTGTGCACCAGGTGGGAGCCCAAGGTCCTCATGAGCGCCGACCCGGGCGGGTACGGCCGCAACTTTGAGCGCATGCTCACGCGCCCTGCGCCTGGGTGCACGAATGCCGCCTCGCACCACCGAGTGATCACGTACGACCTTGCGGGGATGAAGCTCGTCGTGCGGGCCGAGGTCGACGCGTGTTTACCCTCTGGCAAGGCGGCGGCCGCACATGCGCAACAACAACAACAACCACACGTTCCACCACAGTCCGCCCTGGTGGAGCTGACGACGAAATCGAAAAACAACTGTTCCCGTGCATCGAGGATGGCGTACAAGCACATGCAGATGTGTCTCGCGCAGACGCCCAATCTGATCTGCGGGACGCACCAGTATGGTGTGTTCGGCAAGGTGGTGAGGAGGGAAATGTCGGATGAGGGGCGGGGCCAGAGGGAGGCGAAGCTTCGGCTGCTCAGAGATGCTCTGGGGAGCATCCAGCAGCTGGTGGTCGACGCGGGGCGGGGCGGCAGGTTGACGCTTGTTTATAAGGATAGAGTGTTGAAGCTCTATCGGAGGAGCTCGATGAACAGTCTGTTGCCTGAAGAGTATATGAGGATGTTCCAGCCGAACGCCTCGGTCTTTTTTCGATTGTTTAATAGGTGATGGTGGCAAATGACTCTGAGAATGCGACTATACGACAGTGCACAGACCGAAGCGGCGTAAAGCAGCATCACAACTCCCCTCCCTTCTCTCATATGAGGCCGGAGACGTACTCTGCCTTTCCTTTCATCTCAGCGATATCTTCATCTCCCATCTGAGAGGATCGAGCGCGTACATCTCTTCTTACCCGCTCTTTCTCCTGCTCTTCACCTAGAGGCTCCGCGTCTCTCCGCTATCAACCGTACGAATTCTAGATACCGCACCGCTTCCTCCCCACAGAAGATCCTCAGGACTCCGCGGTATCGCACCTATGCGTCCGACTGGGTGCTATTAGAGCGGGACGTGGTTCTACCGGCGGAATTTCTGCGCTACTTGAGCGGACGGGGGGAATAGAGCACGTCATTTAGATGCCGATTGTGCGTCTGCGGAAATACGAAAGACTTTGTTCTCCTTTGGTGGATGAAGAGCCTCGTTTTGACCGAGTGAGGAGGCACACGTCTCGGCAGTATTATCATCACTGCTCGATCTGTGTAGACAAGGTATCTGGAAGAACCATATGTGTGCACCGAGAGAAAAAATATCGAGCCTAGCAAGCTACCACTATCGCAAGACAGTCTCCGTTAATGAGATATCAAAGCAAGTTTATTTATTTTTTCCAAGTACCCTTTATCCTCCTTGCAACAAAAAAAAAAACATTTTCTAGACCGTCAGACCCTCAGAAGCATCAACAGCGCTGGCGGACGCTTCCGCGCCCTCGGCCAAAGACACGGTAGGGATGACACCGACGGGGTTGGAGTCGCTGGTGTCGAAAATGGCGGTGGTGTCGACGCCGACGGTGATGTATCCGACGAGACCGTCCTCGAGGGTGTCGCCCAGGAGTTCCGTAGATACGAAGGCGCTGTATCCGTCGTTGTTGGCTCCGCTGATGATGGAGTCCGCCTGGATTCATTACGGAGTCAGCACTAGTTAGTTGGTATACTACTGAAGAAGAGGAGGAAGGATGGACATCGTTCGTAACACGGGTGAGGGTACTCAAGTGGGCTGTGTAAGCTTCGATTTCGTACACTTGGTTGATGAGGGATTCTTGGAAGAACAGTTGGCTGTAATGTAATGAGAAAAGGTGATGATAATCATCGAGAGTACTCGCCCGACGTGTTGGATGCTCGAAGTCGCGAGAGTGTTGGTGCCGTCCTCGGAAACGGACCCATTGACGCTAGACGTGTGTGTGGTATTGTGACTCCGAGGTTAACTTGATAAAGAAAATAGGGACGAACTGGACGGCAATATCTGGGTATGATGTCAGGATGGATGGATTCAAAGCGTAAGAAGAGGGCTCGAGCTTACGGATGTGGGTCGTACGCGAGGCGTAATATCCTGGGAAGATCGTAAGGAACCTGATAGTCGCAATCAACAACTCGCAAAAGTGGGGGGGGTTAGGAGAAATCGTACTCGGCGATACCGTTCTCGTCAGTTGCAGTGAACCCGTGGAGGAACGCCTTGTCATCAGTGGTTCCGTCCGAGCGGAGTGTCACACCTAAAAAAATGGATACACGATGAGTTAGTCAAGACGAACCGTCGTAGGGCTCGACAGTGTCCGGGTCAATCCCGGTGTATCCACTGGAATGCTCCAATTAAAAAAGCAGCACAGGATGGTGAAAGGAATGGTAAATGGTTACCTGTAAATGCCGTCTGCGTTGCAGTGCTGGTAAAGGAGAGGTAAAACGAAGAGGGAACAAAGCAGAGAGAGAACGCGCGAGTCTACCCAGAAGTCAATGTATGCGCCCTCAATCGGCTCGCACGTATCAACGTCGACTATAAACCATCATGGTTAGAAAAAAACGCACGTTCCATTCCAGAAGTAGAAGCAGACACACTCAGTCCGATATCCAGGTACAAATCGATACCGTCAGAGCCCTCACGAATATCACGACGGTACAGCTCCCCTGAAAAGAGTTCAGCGGCGACAGTGGTTCTACGTCGCAGCCATACGGACCGTCAACGTAGTAGGGCCCAAAGATCGTGTCCGGGGACAAAATGCAAGTGTCGTTCTGGATGGTAGGATACTTGGCTCGCGCTTCCAGATCCAGGCCGCGCGCAGCGAGCTTGGTGGTGGTGTCCTCGCTGAGGCGGCGCTGGAGACTTCGACGGCGGGCTTCCGCGAGGCTGCGCGTGCGCTTGGCGATAGTCGGCGCAGCCGGCGGCACCCCTGCGCGTGACTTGTCCCCAAACAAAGATCAGAAACGGTGGTGCGGAAAACGCGTTCGAAAAATACCTGAGGGCACTGGGGACGACGCCTTGTGCGGGTGTGCCGGAGTCGACGAAAGGAGCGAGAGCGCGAGGGTGGCGAGAGTGAATACTGAGCGCATCTTAAGAACGAGTCAGGAGATTTTTTGGTGATCCATGGCGAGCTCATTACGCCTCTTTTTAAACAAAGAGTCGCGTCGCCACCGCGGGGATTCCTGTAATCTGCCTCCGAACTGCGCTTCGCACCACATGCCCAGAGTCGCTAATGTGTGCGTTCTCATTGGTTCGCCCGAACGAGTCTAAGCAAAAGAACATTCTGCTCCAACCTGCTGCAAAGTGCCAAGAGCACGATCGTTCGCTGATCGCGTGGCCAGAAAGATGGTAAAGGCCCGAGATTGAAAAAATTCAGCGTTCGTTGTTTGTTGCGACCCCGAGATGGATGACGCGAATCCAACCAACTGACCGTAAAAGTCATGAAAATCTCATAATGGGGAACTGCGCAGGGATCCTGGAAATTTCTGGCAGTCGGCTGGGCGTGCCTCGCCCAGACATTCGCGAGTGCCCGGTCCGACGCGTCGTTATTGGAGAGACGATCTCATGATCAGTAAACACGAACAACGGGGACGACCACAGTAAATTTCTGAGCCTGATACCGACACGCTGAGACGCACATGTCAAGAGTGAATGAATTTCTCGACAGAGAAACCTTACCCGTCATTTCTTTGTAGAAGAAATGGGTCTCACAAAGACCGAGGGATTGACAGTGACCGGCCGCCGATGGGAAATCGCTTAATGTTGCAATTTCGTGAGTCCAGGTGGAACAAGTCACCTCTGCCGGCAGGAAAATGGCTCACATCCGAGGTTGGGGATAGAGCCGTGCAGAGAGACGCACCTGAGAGGTTCCGGGCGGATTTTCAGCCTCGAAAATGTATATAATAACTCCATGTGCATGAAAGGCACATGTGTGGTTGCTTTGGTATAGCCCTGGAACCGCAGATGAACTTCAAAGCTGTATGGCGCTGAGGAGGATTTAGATGTCTGAGCACTGCATACGAAGTTGCGTGGATCGAGCACCATAGCAGGAAAATTATCGTATGGAAGCAGAAAGACCAAGATTTGAAATAAAACAGAAGGTCATCGTGGTCTTGAACAACGCCGAATAAGTAGCACAGCCTTCAGGAACGGGCGATCTTTGCTTACTGGGTCCATGCTGTGTAAACTAGAGGGATGTAGCAGTGCTACATCTTGTATACTTGCGTCTGACGTGCCATGATGGTATTGGCCTCAGCCGCCTCATAGCCAATCCCCACAGTTCTTGTATACTTTCTGTAATTTCTAGTACTTTTCCACATACCAGTACAATCATTAATGGAAGGGATAAGTTAAATCACAGAGCCCAGAAGAGAGTTTAACAAAGGAGTGCTATCCGAGTGTAAGTTCATGTCGGATTCAGATGAAAGAATGGAATGTTGCGATTAAACCAACGAAAGTAGCAACGCCGGACACCAGTAGATGATCAATTGTGATTCTGCGCGCGCCATTCTGTGCTGCTCCAGTACAAAGTGTCCCTTTGCTATCCAGATATCGCGCGAGTAAGATGACCTAGCCACGTTTTGTGAGGTGATTTGTGGTAGAACATCCGAAGAACTTACTTGAGGCAGGCCATACCTCGACTCTACGGTCAGGCTACCAGTGACGGGATCGACGTTGTAAGGCTGACACGTCAATACATCTATCAAAGTCTGCCCCTTCAAAAAGAGACCAGCATCTTCGGGTATGGTCCATGTAGCCGTGCTAGAGTTTCCGGCATTCGTAAGAAGAGCAAGGAGAGGAGGTTTGGATACCGCTATCACATTGTCGTTTGACTGAGGAATGAAGGTCATCTGATGGGTCGTTAGTTTCATGGACAAATGTAGAGAACCGTGGGGTCTTGTCCTACCTGGGTGGTCAAGAAGTCCTGTTTCGAATTGATGGCAAGCTTTCGTACGGCATTCAAGTTAGTCATATGTTGCACGAGCGGCTTTTGGTAGACGCGGTAGTAACTTGACCATAATCTATTTCAAGCAAGGTCCAATAAGCGCTGGTCAAATAAGCGTATTTGGTACGTACGGTTCGTGGTTACTGGGGACAGCACCACCTTGAAAACCCTGTTCCTGTCCTACAACGTCAATTAGCACTGCGATACAGTCTTCAAGAAGGTAACGTACCGTAGTAAACGATAGGTATGCCGTCGTGAATGAACGGCCAAGTGACAGCATTCTTAATCAGAGACTCATCCTTTGTAAAAGACGGGAAGCGAGGCTGATCATAGTTCTCCACGAAAGATCCAGTCATGCATAGGCCACTAGCATACTTTTCTTGCGATTCGATGACGGTGCTCATGAGGCTGTCGAAATTGCCATTCGTATCGGAAAAGGCATCCGTCATCGTGAACCAGGTCGGATAATCGAGTACAGCGTCGAGGACCTCTATCCAGCTACTTAGGTCAATACATGAATAAGCAGATACAGAACCACGAACGAGTGTAATCGCTTGTATAGCTGACATTGTCGCTGAGAATCTGATAGTAATGGCATCAAAATGAATCTCCTACTAATTCATAGTAGATGACATACCTCACCCATAGCGAATACGCCCGCCGCCCCGGTGAAATCGCGCCAGAATGATTGGCGAATATACCGAGCGGCTGAGATTCGCAGACCATCAATATGATACTCCAGCACTAGATCCTGGATCCAGTTCCTGAGCATCTCGAAGTTTGTCGGGTTTTCGGTGTCGATATCAAGGAGTGGGAGACTGAAAACAGGAGTCAGTAGAAGCTGATTATCTATTTGAGATGGGGTCGTACCTGGCATCTCCGAGCCAGCATTGTTCGACCTCGGTTTGGTTCGAATTGTCGGTTATGAAGCATTGAGGATGGAAATCATTCACTGATGTGAATGGAGTTAGAGAAGAAAAATCAAAGGATTGTGGGATTTTATCTGAGATGTTAGTCGGGGTAGCTGCATAGCTTGATACGCGAAAATGAGGTCATTGAGTTTCGACATTAGCATTATGGACTTACTGATTAACAAGCACGTCGACCATGAGATACATATCTCGATCATGAAGCGCGGAACTGAGCGATTTCAAGTCACCAGGTGTACCGAATTTTGGGTTGAGGACGTTTAAATCTCGGGTCCAATAGCTTCCGTGAGAATCAGCATGATAAAGCGGAATGAAATGTCCATGCTTGCCCGTGATATGCATCCCCATAAGCTGTTTCCTCTTCAATGTTCGCTGAAACGGGAGAGATCCAGACAGCATCGAAGCCAATGTTCTGTATATAGTCAAGATGGTTGATGAGGCCCTGCCATGTTCCACCGCAGTATTTTCTTGCTTTGGGATCACAAGGACTAGCAGAGTCATTAGCCGTTGCAAATCTGTCGATGACGACCTGTTTACGAGTAGGATAAGCAATAAGGATAGACCTTTTGAAACATTCAGCGCACCTGGTATATCGACCTCGATCGCCAATCGGCGGCCGATGCTGCAAATGCTGGCACGACAAAAAAGAGTGTAGTCGCGAGAGAACGAAACAGCATGGCGGGTTGCAGGTAACGAAGACTGGGGAACCTGCTTTAAACGAACATCTAAAAGTCCAATGGTCAGCCAACAGTACATATTTAGAGCATTAAAGTGAAAAAAATGAAGGCATGGTCAATACCAGATATTGAATCATTTGTCGCAAGAATGACCACGTGCAGACGTGATCCTTCGGTAGATCTGAGTTTTGGATGAGAAGGAAGCATCGTCACTCTGGAGTTGTCGTCAAGCATTCGTCCGTAAATAGAGTCACGGGATCTTGAATGGCTACGGAAGGTGATGAATCTTCTGAGAAAGAAAAGTAGAGAAGGGCGAATAGAAGCAGACCGAAGGATGCAGCATAAACAGTCAGAGCTGAGAACTCGGCATAAATTGGTGTTCGGGAGGTGAAGTCTGTTGGGATTTTGCTGGAAAGTTCTAGAAAGGGCAATCTGGCATCATGCCGAGAGTTGACGAGTAAGCTCGAGAGAAAGAGAAAGTTGTAGTAAATTCTAGATATAAGCCTGGAGAGTATAAATACAAGCTCTGTAGGAGCTGTAGAATAAGAAGTTCATTCCATCTGGCCTTACCAGCCTGGAGTCTACCCTGCGCATCACCGAGGATTTCCAACGAAGTCCATTCAGGAGTGGTGAGTGTTATGAACTGACCTTCTATTTCGCGGTGTAGAATAGTTGATGGTCTTGAGCCTCATAATTGGGCTAGTTTTGTCGTCACACGGAGATAACGTTGAAAATTGGCACGGATAACACCGGAGGGTTGCAGGGGTTAAGCGATTTACGATGGCATAAAAACGGATAGAAGGAGGGTAAACTTCATTAGTCCATGAATTCATACACAAATGTCGCCGGGTCCAATAGTCATTGTTCGGAACTTAGGATGTAGTCTTCAGCCTCCTTCGATCGAGGCTTGATCGAACATTTGAAAGGTTCCGGTAGACTTTTGCAGGATTGTCGATCAGTGCAACTGAGATATTAAAGAAAAACGCGTTGCGTACCAAACCAGTCCTGTATAAACTTTGTCACTCGGTTCTATAATCATGCCATTTTCATCGACTGCTTTCGTGATATCGAAGACGGCAAGTATCGAAGCCACAGTAATCCATACAGATGCGTAGGCCAAATGCCTTCCTGGACATATCCTGCAAAGATTCTTTCAGGGAATCATTTTAGTGGCCGAAGGAACATGTCAAACCTTCGACCATAACCAAACGCTACTATGGTGGGATCTTTGACTGTAAGATCCAGTCTCCCATTTTTCATGAATCGGTCAGGATTGAAGGAAAAAGGATCCGGATACGCCACCTGCAGATGATGAGAAATTAGATCCTGTAAGAGTCACGGAGAAGTGCGAACCTCATCGTGAAGAATTGCCCTGGATAATTGTTAAACAAATTATAGGATATTTATCTAAAACTCGCGTACCATGTGTTGGGAACAACCACAGAACCAGCAGGAAGCCGATAGCCTTTATAGACGTCATCTATTTCGAGAAGATGCGGTATCGCTGTCCAATAACTTTGAGATATGCAACGACACGTTCGTTTCCCCAGCGGCCTTACCAATGGGAGTAACATTTTTCCATCGCAACACTTCTTTGACGATTGCTGTGACATAAGGCATTGATTCCTGGTCATCGAATGTGGGGAGTCTTTCCTGATGGAGAACTCGATCGATCTCTGCTTGCCCTTTTCTTTGTGCTTCCGGGTTAAACAGTGCCCCAAGAATAAATGTCGCGAATGCAGAAACGGTCTATACACGGGAGGGTGAGATATGCTTTTAGGCAACAAATGTGTGGGATTTACCGTGTCCGACCCAGCTTCAATGACAACAATCAGTTCCGTTGACATCAGCGTTGATTGAAGAAACTGACCGGCATACATAGTTCCAGCAGTATTCTTGATGATCCGTTGTTGGCATGCCATATCTTGCTCGGCACCTATCCTATCCAAATTGGAGGAAGTGAAGGACGGTTTGTACGAACCATCAGCCTAGAGATAGAAGCACTGTTACCATTATGCAATTGCAGCAATCAATACCCAACTGACGATTTGGCGGATCGTCTCGCCATATGGGATGTCGACCATCCTTCGAGCCAATACTTTCCATTCTTTAGCTGTCCGCTGGAATCCAGCCCCCGGGAACCATTCTGGAGTGTACTCAGTCGCACGTCAGACAGCGAACAATGAGCAGAGGTTACCTGGTACGTATTTCAAAATCGGTAGAAAGTCCTGTTGATTATGTGTGAGCTGTCGACAATCCAAGAACAGAAAATGCCGGCATACCACCAAGAAGGTTCCCGGTACAACAGCGAGCCCGACAGTGTGCATTGCATCTTCTGCGACGGCAACGAAAGGGTCTCCATCTGGAAGGATATCAATACCGTACGTTATAGACATGATGACACGGGCAGCCATACTGCAGTGATTGGTTATTACTAAAACTGCATCACGACCATTGTCACTCACTAACGAAGGTGGGTCATGAAGTCTTCAGGCCTGTCCAATAACCGTCGTAGTAGTTCGCGAGTAGCATCAAGCACCTGAGGATGGAAGTGCAATGCCGCTTTGGCGTTCAATGTCTGCTGGCAAAGGCGGCGGTGGGCACGCCTAAAATGCACGTCGAGTTTGTCATCAAATTTGGTACGGAAAAACTGAATTACCAATCGTTTCCTAGAATTACTCTTCTCAGAGACGCCGAAATCAACGGTGAAAGATCAGCTTACCGTAGGGCATGAGGCCTACCAGAAAGTCCCATCCCATCAATTCTCTAACCATTGAGAGATGAGCTCTATGCGTTTCAATGTATTGAGCTTCTTCTACGACCACCAGAATAGGAGAAATATTTACCTGCTTGAATAAATTGACGATCGTTTATCGAGAAGATCAGAAGTAGCTTCCAACGAGTTGAGGACAATAATGGAAGTTCCAACCACGTCGAGATGTATGATATCGGAGTCTGCACCAGCTTCAGCATTTCAGTTTCGTTTCCAGACACAGAAAATAATATCACCGTGCTCTTTCCCCCATCTATGATACGTCTCCCACTCGAACGAAGTAGGCATGTCTTTGAGATTCCCGATAAGGAATCGCTTCTTGGGACCAGGGGGCAGAGAGAGTTGCCAAGACTGAGACCTGCGCAAGTGCAGAAGTACAGCCAGGGCGATAGAGATGATGCCAGCGATGATGTCAAGGTAAATCATGGTCATCGTTACCAATGAAGCTGTGCGAGAGTCGGTATTATTATGTTCGAATACCCCCCGGAGAAGTCACGGCACCGATGGACTGCTTCGATATCGGTGGATCAAAACATGATGTCTTCCTGTGAAAGTGCCCAGGAAGGTAAGTTCTTCTCGAGAGGGGGGGAAGCTGGCCCGTTGTCGTTTTAATTGAGTGGAATATTTGAAATAGACAAAGTGATGAACATTAGCTTACAAGACCGCTTCAACTTTTTGAATACGTGCGTCCAGAAATTGTGCTGGCTTTCGGAGTAAAACCCATATTTTGGACCAACAGATGCAGCCGCAGTAACAGCGAAAATGCCTTCGCTACTGCCAGTGGGTGTCCACAAGGCTTGCGGCTTAAAGTTTGAAGTCGGGGATATACCGTATTCAGTCGAAGACGGCCTGCTTGCCCCCGAGGTCACGGTCGTGGTATGATATTATATGCTCATATCACTAGTGCCGACCTAGCCAGCCACCTCTAAAGGGGAGACCTGTGTCAAGAAGGTCAGTCGACACCCAACGTTGGCCTTTCGGAGTTACACATGTTTATAATTATTTTCGTTCTGATGTACCTCAGTCTTTTATAACCATTCAAGTGAAGACAGAGGTATGTTTTTCTTAACTCTACACATTAAACATAGTACTTATTACTATGTAGATTGCTGTTTCCTAACAGGTTATGCGGCCCCATTGTGCTTAACAACTGCACCCAAACCTATCTCAGACTCAAGAAATTGATTACTGAACCCTCAAAACAAAAGCTTGGGATCATAGATGTTGGCTCATGTAACTTATCACAAAACTAGACCCCTATAAAATTTTCACACCAAAGCATGCTGACAATGGTGACATCCCAAATATTGCCTTTCAAACTTGAAGCTGATGAGAAGTTCAACAGCAAAAATTGGGCATTGTGGGAGATGCTAATGATTGCTGAAGAAGGTCCATGTGGACTTATGAACTACTGAGAAAACAGTGTCCCCACAGCTGCTGAACCTCCTCCCTTTACCTGCCATGGGATTAACCAGCCTCAGCCTGTTTGACCATGAATACACCCAGCATGAGAGCACAGCACTCTCCTCTATCATCCAGAACATCACAGACCCATTCAGTTTTGGCCTTGACTCATGCAGCAAGGCACATGAGGCATGGAGCAAGCTGCAAAAAGAGTATGGAGCCAATTCTGACATAATTTGAAAGAGGAGGTAAGACATACTAAGGGAGACAAAGTTTTAAGATGGAGAGAAGGTTACTGGTGATGGCAGGCATGTTGAGAAAATGAAGCACTTGCTGAAGGAGGAAAATGATGCTGGAACTGGAATCAAAAGCAAGACCTTTGTGACCATTTTGATTGACTCATTCTCTGAGTCATGAGACTCTGTCATTAGTATGCTACATAGTGAGAAGAACATTGTCAAAATAGTCACATGCCTCTCTGCACATGGTGATAGAGTCACTGGCCATCATGGACATCCTACAAGTTCAACATCTACAGACCTATCAAACCTGGCATTGCACATCTCAATCACAGCATTAACACAGCAAGTACAGAGACTGAACACCATATACTGCTGCAACCAAAAGCCACCTAGCAGGAAGTCCCACAAGATGAATGAGGACTGCAAAGTAGGGATCCACACTGTATCTGTAACTATGATATTATGGGATGGTTGATATGAGTACTATAACTGTACCATACTTGATCTTCATCACAACCATACAGGTTGGTATACAGTATGGACTGCACCCATACAACCTGTACAAAACATGGCCATGTATGGCCATATATACAGATATCCAAGTGGTGTCATTGGATCTTGAAATGACATCAATCAGCTGATTGATTGTGTGACCTTCTTTCTCCAGAGCTGTCATGTTGACAACCATTCTAACTGTTCTATTCCCTGTTACCCTTGCATTTGCCCACTGCTTGCAGCTTGACATTTTTTTCACTTATCACTTCCCAACTCTATCTCCAGATCATGATTATCTCTTCTGTAATGACCTTCTTAGCCAATATGCAATATATCACTAGCTATTTCACTCCATGTAGTGGAAGTTTCAGTCAAGAAAATTTCTGTGGCATCACTCTCTTTACCTCCTGTTCATGGCTAATCCTTTTCTAGTTTGACATGAGTCTGATAGATATAGAAGCCCACCACAAAAATATCTTGCCAAAATGCCCTCCCAACTTCTCTTTCAAAGTGGAGAGACACATGGGATTCTTCTTGCTTTATCCTCTAATGCTATTGTTTTTTGTGCAAGTCTTTGGTTTGCTATTTCTGTGGTACTCTTTCTTACCCCAGCACTTGGCATTCTCTGGACTACACCAGGACTAACCTGCTTGTTTCTTCTCAAATTTCCAGCTTTGGTTGATTTGCTGACAGAGGCTCTTATTCTGATGTACCTCTATTGTGTGGTCTCACTCTTTATGTTCAGTAAGCCTGTCCTCTCATGTTCATGTTGATTCTCACACTAATTGACCAACTTTGAAGTCAACATGATCTTTTCCACTTTCTTTACCCTTAGTTGACTGGTTTTTGAGCTATGATTTTATTTTCATTAGTCTCATATTTCATAAATGCATCAGGATTAGTTTCACAAGCTCTTGAAGGTGGGCATCACAATATTTTTTGTGACCAGATACTATGATAAGTGCTTATAAGTAGGATAGCTCTCACTGGTATAATCTCAGCTTTGAGCTAAAGTTTATTCACACTCATTCTACTCTCAAGCTATCTCCTTACATCTTGAAGCACTCAATCTACATAAACACAATAAGTGAACTCTAGTGGAAGTCTCAAATGTGAAGGCACACTAGTTTATCATGTGTTTCAGATCATGTGCAGCTTGAGCCTAACAATTAGCTTGAAGCTTTATCATCCCTTTCCTCATGCACTATAGTGTGAAGGAAACCAAATGCCATCTATCAACCCATCAGACCCAAACTTCAATCATGAGTTCTTTGAACTCCTCACCTTTATCATCAGAACATTGTTGAGATTATTGGTAATCATACAGCTGTGCTGTGAATGCCAATCAATCACAGCATGAGCAGTTAGACACTACCATGAATTTCAGAACATCCATTGCATCTTACAAAACATAACCCCCAACTTACCCCTTTATAACATCTCATCCCCAAATCCAAGTGAATGTCCCACCAGCCCCTGGGGCACTCTATACCTGAAGCAGAGCCTAGTGGCTTGCATATGAGGGACATTCAAGAAGAAGAAAGACACCAATACCCTCTCCAATGACCAGATGATCAAAACCAGAACCCTTGCATCACAGGATTCTGGAACTCATAGATCCTGCTCCCCATCTCTAACCATAAAGACAAAGACCTTCCTAAGAACTTCTTTAATGAGATGCCTTCCCCTGACCCTTTCTCTGCTACAAGAGCCTCTGAGATTGCTGACCATACTAGAGACTCTCTTGATGCCACTCAGATGGCTTTAAGATCCAGAAGTGTTTTGCCACACTCAAGAGAAGCAGAACACAACTCCCTCTATGCAACACCAACTAGAAGCCTCATCCACTTGGTCCATTCCCACCATGGTGGCCAAGGGATGGGCAGGCTGCCTAGTGGACCTGGACATAGCACAAGGCAGAAAGCCAGAGATCAAATCATACACCAATTATTCCTGGATTGGGACCTTCAAGTCTCATTCAATTTTGACATAGCAGTCTGACAATGAGAACAATGATAAGAAGAGTGAGCCTGGGATGACTCCAAGCAAGCTTGAGAAGATCTTGCAGAGCATGCCAGGGCAGAGGCTCAGCACCAGTATGAAGAAGAGGAGTATGACTGACAAAGACATTATCAGCAGCAGGAAGCAGAGGCAGCCTGCCTAGAGAGTGGATCCTCAGGTTGGTATGGTCTCTGATCAGAGCTTTTCACCTCCATCTTCAGAAAACCCAGCACTATCAACACTGACCTATGAGCAGAGCCCTATAGTCTCATCACTCTCAGTGAAGTCAACAGAAGAGAAAATAGAGATGGCATCCTCTATCCTCCCCAATGCACCATCAGCCCTGAAACCCTCAAATATCCCTCTTCCTGACATACCCCCAGTTCTGACACCATCTGCTAGAGTGATGAGTCCATCCTCAACCACTATAGGTTACAAGTACCTCTCAACACCTATAACACCAATCATGCTCTTCAGAGATTCCTTAGAAGTTAAATCACTCAACAGTTCCTCAACAAGGAGTTCTACAGAAACTTCTGAATCTATAGCCAGGACTTGGAGGCAACATGAGCACATGGCAGCAACAGGTATGATGTTGAGATTGAAGCCAGTCCCTGAGTGGGACTCACTGCCACTTCTGTTCCCCTCAGCCTCAAAGCCAGGCTCAGTACCCAGCCTCAGCAGCTCTCCTGCAACACTCAAACCTTCAGTTGGAAGCATCTTCAACCAGCCCATCACTTTTCTTCTTGAGAAGAACAGCAAGAGCAACAAGATCAGAAATGATGAGGAAACAGAGAGCAGCAAAGAGCCATATAGGCTTAAGGATTTTATGAAATATGCCTGAAAAAATATTGATGAAGAAGCACTGCAAGAGGAGATTCAGAGGTTGCAGGTTGAAGAGTACCATGATCTGTATCAGACAGAAGTAACTTTTTTATGGCATGATGCCGAATGGTTGGCATCACAGATAGGATTATTATATATTAATGCAGACACAGATGAATGATAGGATATTCTACAATATGCCACCACCAAATATGCTGTTCAAACTTACAATGACAGGCATCTAGAAGATCAGCTCCATAAGCTGCCACCATACAAGTCAAAGTTTGACATACAACCAATGTCATAGTCACCATCTGTCACTTCAAAACAAGCTGCCTACATGGCACCCTTAGTATGAAGCCAGAAGAGCTGGCAGTCATACTCCACACCATCAGTCTGATCATCAGCAATGCAGCTCTCTTGTTCCAGGCCTCAACCAGCTTTCTGGCCTATCATTCCTCAAAACCTATAGACCAGCAAGGAAAGCCAACTTCTAGGTGCACAGCCA